GGAGGACCCCGGGTTACCCTGGCCTGCGGATCGCCAGCTGCTTTCCACAGCCACGAGCGGTTCCTGAGTCCGGGCACGAAGAGGGGAAGCACGCTGCTTACTGGTATGATGGATGTTCATTTCAGAGCCAGTTTACACTTCCCACAGTACTCAGTAACAGGCAGAAGACAGACTCACATTAAACATCGTCCAGAATACTGTCAAGATTGTCACTTTAACTGCTTGATAAGAAACTTGAAATAAAAACACATTTCTCACTGAAGTTCCTTTAACAATTTCTGTCTATATAACAGTAATATTCTACATTTATATTGCAACTTTGGTACAAAAAGAGCTCTAAATGTCAGTGATGATGGATAGGATAATCACCCATTTCACAGGTAGGTAAAAGAGATTCAGTCACTATCTTTAAAGCACACCTCAAGTCTATGGTAGCAAGAAGGGTTTAGAGAAAAAAAACAAAACAACCAAACAAACAAAACAATAGAGCCATCCTAACTGTAAATATGGAAAAAGGTCTGTCCATCATATATGATGCACTGGGCTGGTTTACTTAGTCTCCTGTCTTAACATAAGAGACTAAAGTAGTTAACCTTCCTTCGTAGCACGTGTCACTGTTTAGTCCGGCTGACTAGATAAATGTTTAGTTAAATGTGCAGGACGATTTCCATTCTTTGTATCGCCCCAGCTGAAAAAAACCTTGCAAATTATCTGAGATACACAGTTTCCAGCATTGCTGGTAAAATTAAACCTCCCGCCAACAAAGACTTAGGTGTGCATGGATGGAAAAAGCTGGATCTGTGGTGTAAATGATAACGGTCTAGCTGGTGAGACAAAAGCAGTGTCTTTCCAGTCTGAGTTAGTATTTGTAGTCCAGGTTCTCTTCCTGGCTCTATCACAGGTTACCTGTGTAGTGGTAGAGAAGTCATCGTGCCATGGGAATGGTGCTCTGTCACATCCCTGGAGAGTTTCAAGATCTGTCCCACTGAGATTGCCAGAGATCATAAGTTTTATGAAAATAATTTTTAAAAATTAAAAGCAGCTGTTTGAGAAAGCTGAAAACAGTAAGCAGGACATGGAATGCCAACTGTGGCACACAGCTGTCACCCCAGTGTCAGACAGCAAAAAGGAAAGTAACTTGGAAAGTACATTTGGTGTCATGATGCTTTCATAACTACTTCCACTACTTTGTGAGTTATCAGTACAAACATGCATGCACCCCCTCTCTCCCTACCTTCCCCCAAAACATGCACCCTTAATTTTACAGGCCTGGGAATAATGAAGGATGAAGAATGTGGGGTGAATATGTAGGGGAGACTTAACACAAAATGGTTTACAAGAGAGCAAGAGCTATGTTCCTTAAAAATCTAGATAGTATGTTTAATTTGGAAGATACAGGCCAATCCTTCCCAGGGGAATTTTTAGAGCTCCCCCTTAGAGCCGGGCATCGACCTGTATTGTCTCTGCTGAAAAAGGGGCTCATAAGACTTTGTGTAGAAGAACTGCAAAGAAGCATTACCACCTTTGTGAGCAGAAAGAATTCAAGTGTCTGATTCATTTCATAGCAAGAGGCTTGATGTACAGTGCATGTGCCAAATTAGTATCCCCCTTTGTGTTGGGATGTTTTAGATCCAGAAGTTCACGCAGGCAAAAATGAAAACTGTTAGCTGTGCTATACTCAAGCATATACATCATTCTCAGCTGAAGCTCAGGGTTATCTGTATCCTGCTGTAAAGTCAGGCTGCTCTCCAGTAGAGAGCCAGGGTGTGATCTTTCATTTTCACTAAGCTGATTCAATGGGGAGGATGTAGCTCCTCCCTCAGATCCTCAGATGCTCCCCTGCAGCGGAACTGGTGGGTCTCTAACCCTGCAGTAAGCCAGTTTGGAGATCCATCTGGTCAAACTTACACACAGGATCAAATGCCTGTTTCCTGAACCGGCTCAGCGCGGGGGCTGCTGCCCACCACTGCCGGTGCTAGAGCATCACGAGAGAGCGGTGAAAGCTGGGTGACGAGCAGCGGGAGCGCCCCAGGCCAGGACTGCCCCGTGTGCAGTGATGAACCAACAGACGGGCGTAACGCCAGCGAAGTGCAGCATTCTCAAGCTGCTGTACGTAACGTGTGTGTAGCACGTCTGCAGGAACGGAGCTGTGGCAAGAAATGCTACACAGGCGAAGCTTGGATTTGAGGATTTAGCACAAGTACTTACACTGACGCATCTTCCATCTTCTAAATCAGCTTCTGTCACATCAATGCTGGGGATTTTTCAAGACGGAGCCACCCAAGACAGTGTTACAGCACTGGTGCCTGTACTGTGATTGTAATCTAATGACTGAGAGTAGGCTCTGAATTTTTAAGAGCATAAAAATAAAACCTTACTGAGTCAGACCAGCTTTTGTCTAGCCCTGTAACCTCTCTCCAGCAGCTGAGTTAAAGCCTATTGTCAGTAAAACCCACACAATCCACACACCCTCTGTCAGAGATTATAAGAACTTTCAAAACTAAATCTCACATGGGAAGAGCTAAGCTTGAATCACAGTTTGGTGGGCTCTGATTTCATCCTCCCTCACCAGGAAAATGACCCAAGTTCACATGAAACACCGCAGGGGCTGAATAGCTCACATTTTAAGCAGGTTCCATCCAGAACTGTCTATACTAGTGAGTGTAAGAGTCAAAGAAAGGGAATAAAGAGAATCAGGAGAGTTCCCAGTGCCACTGCTTGTCCTGCAGGTGGATGTGTGAAGAGGAAGGTCTCGCAGCACCTTTGGGCAGTGCCCAAGTGAAGTGAAAAACTAAAAGATTGTTCTCCTGAAATCGAAAGGCTCTGCTGATCTCTTGTCTAGCTGAAGGATGTATAGTCCTAACTGACTTCTCCAGTTTCCACTGAATAGGGAGGGTATTTGTGGTGGGTCTTCCATTGATAAGTGTGGAAATATCAAAGTCTCATTCTTGAACGAGACGCCACATTTTGTAACGGTGGCTCTGACTGTACCAGGGATTATAACAAAAACATGACAGTCATTGCAGGTGAAGTTGTTTGTTTGCTGCCCTACTGTTTGGCAGAGGTTTTCTTCCCCAGACCCAGCCATATCAATGACTTCTATATGTGTGTTTGTCTTCTTGATATTAAGCAGAGACCTAGGAGGCATGTAGGTGTGAGCAAAGAGTAGCACATAGTGTCTTGGATGGTTTGAGGACTGCGGAGAATGCATGAGTTGCTCCAAGTGAAACAAGCATGGTATCAGGCCTCCCTGGTGTAAGCACCCAAACAGCAGAGCCCCGAGAACATTGAAAATAATAATGACGTGTTTCCACTTTGCAGCTCTATTCTGTGACGTGCTGAACAGGACTAATGGCAAGATGAGAGGAATGAGAAACCGAGGTTCTTGGTGACTGAACAGGGAGAGAAATGCCAAAGGAACAAAATAAAACAGTAGTAACGTTGGATTGCCCTCAGAATGCACTAATGGCCCCGATAACCCATGGTAATGTGATCTGACCCATGTTAATTGACAGATAGATTTCTTTAACATGTTAAAACCAGCACTGATGGCCAGAATATGTAAGATCCCAAAGAGCATTATTCCATTGATGATAAAATGTGTAACTCGTGGGTGACTTCCATGCAGTGCAAGATTATGCGGATTAAGATTATAGCTGACAAAATTTAAAGGGGTTACTATCATTCTCTCATTTAATTGAGCTATTACATCAAATAGGCTGCTTTTTTTAATGCTGTAGAGGTTCTCTAAACCCATGGAGGTAAAATAGAAGGTGTCAGCTGTTATGAAAACAATAGCAGTAAAACATGCACATAGGACAAACTTCAAAAAGTGGTTTATGAGATTTTTAATGCTCTTTTGAGAGTCGGCAATTAAACCTGCCCAGTAAAGCAGGGGCATTAGAGCAAATGCCAAGAAGGTTGGCCTGTTGAAAAACCCAGCAGTCGTTACAATACCTATGAGAGGACTCCTTGTAGGCTCCACTAAGCTGCCACCAGACTTTCTTGGGGAAACCAATACCATCAGAAGAGCAAAGAGCAGTCCTTCAAGCGTGTTGGTAAATGTTCTTGTGTAAAATACCAGAGTGACATACGATCCGGCAAGAAGTACCAGCGCTTTCCACGGATCTGCTTCCCAGAAAGGAGCTAATCGGTAAACACTATAGTCGAGTATGAAAGAAAAGATTGTAAAGAGAAGGCGAGGTGATACAAGAAGGGTGTAGCTGTTGATGCAACTTGAACATATGTCCAGCTGCTGCAAAGACTTGATCACCCAGTAGCTAACTCCAGATGTCATTAAGGGGAAAACAACTGTTCTGCAAGGAGAGCTGGAAAGGAACTCCCAAGGATAATAGACCTGTAGGTTTAAAATATCTCCTATAAAGGAAGAAAAAAAGAAAAAAATACATACATACCTAATATATTTTATTCAGTAATTCAGGATTAGAAATACAACTTAGTATAAGAGGCATCATGATGCAGAGCAGTCACTAAGCTTTCGAGACTACTGCCAACAATGAAATGTTTAGGAGTAAACTGTTCATCTTTGCAAAGCTTCAATTTTTTTTTTTAAAAAAAGGTCTATTTTGGCGATATGGCTCCAGGCACCTCTTCGTACGGAGAGCACAGCGCAGACACGCAGCCACCCCGCGCTGCAGAGCTGCAGTTCTGGCAAGAACCGCTTTGTAACCACAGGGGAGCATACAGCGCGGGGAGCGTACGTACCGCGGGGT